TGTTCTCCTTTTTTGTATGAATTTATAAAAGTCTTCATTATTATAGCATACAAAAGTTAATATGCAGAACTAAACCATAAATTTGGTTATATTTACCATAGCGAAGAATGTTCAAATGCACCTATCAGGTTTTGTATATGCCAACTAAGTTCCCTTTAATCCAATGGGCCTACTCTAGCTGGCACTAACAATTGTATTTTCCAAGCTGTGGTGAAAGTCGGTATTTGAGAAGATCAAGGTGAGCATAACTTCTTTCTCAAAACTTTGCCTGCCTTCATTCTGTCAGATGCTGCTGCCTTCTCCATTATCTTAGGAGCAGAAACTTACCCTGGGCTGGGTAAAGAGGTGGTGATAATGGTGGCCGGTACTTCTCTGGGTTTCTTGGAAGAATGGGTGCATGTTGTTTTCCACAGAGGTTTCCAGCCAGGGGAAAATGCTTTTTCAAGGCCTAACAACACCTGTGTCTTTGTTGCCTGGCTTCAATGTGGGTGTCCAGGCACAATGTCAGGAAGACGGGGAAATAACAGAAGTAGCAATCCTGTACATTTGTTTAAACAACAGTATGCTTGATACAACATTAAGAGTATGCTGCTCAGAAGGAGATGAAAATGGAATATTAAAGTAGCCACCATCACAGGGCCAACACTACCATTGGGTAAAGTGAAACACCCACCTCAGACTTATGACCTCATCACACAGAGGGAAATGAATGTCCTAGCATGCTGCCAGGATGTTTCTTTCTCAGAGCCCACTGGACACCATCACATGACGTAAGGCAACTTCCGGCGGGCCTCAACAGAGGAAGCATCCTGGTAGCATCCTAGGATGCTTCCCTGGAAATGCAGGAAGCATTCTGTGTTCCATAGGGAAGAGCGGGCAGAAGTAGAGTGGTGGCGTTTCCCCCCAAGGGATGGAGTAAGGCGTGTAACGGGTTATGCGGAGCATGGGGCAATGGTTTCCTTCTGCTGACTCATGGATTCACCATGCTGCCCCATGGATTTGGACCTCAATATGTTGAGGTCCTTAGGGTGTCATGAAATGACATCAAATTGCTAGTCACTTAATTTGTTAATATTGTATTTTTCATGCCAGGGATAAAAGAGAAGACTGCAGGATGTTCTGCCTCATGATACACTAAAATAAGTTGACTGGCTTTTGCTATGATTAACCTTGCATTGAATGGGTTAAAAGAAAAATTTGCTCTTCTTACTCCGGCATGAATATGTCTTAGGCCAGTTTTACTGCTTCAAATATAACAACCATTATTTGCTGTTACAAACATGGAACTCTATGTGCCTCAGATTCATCTGTTTTTCCCTACACACACACACACACACACACACACACACACACAAATTAAAAAGTTTTCCCATATCAATAAGCAGAAGTTACATTATTTCTAAACTCTGGAAATTATGCTTAATTTTAAAATTTGATTAAACAAACCAAAGTAGTAAAACTAGAATCTGAAAAACATGATTCCATCTTTGTTTTAGGTAGCCATGGTTAGGGTAAATCATAGAGCAGTATAGTCCCTCCCCATATCTGAAGAACTGTCAAACACAGTTTTGCTTATTCACAGTTTTACTTGTTTACTTAGGGTCTCCTTTATGAGCTGCACTCTCTTGTTGGTGCCCCATCATTTGTCCCAATAATAGGGCTTGCTATTATCTGCAGTTTCATATATCTACACAAAGTCTGGGAACATATGTTGTAGTTTGGTAAGGCATAAGTATTCCCTGCCAAATATTGCAGATTTTTGCACATTGCAAGCTAACAAAGGGGGAGGGGGTCACACACATTCTGAAACTACAACTCCCATGATTACATAGCATTGAGCCATGATAGCTAAACTAGTATCAAATGTCATTAATTCTACAATGTAGAAGTAAATGATTGCTTAAAAAGTATTCTACATTGTTCAGGCTCATGGTTGTGATTGGACTGAAGTAAGCAGTGTCAAGGCACATACAAAAAAAAAACAAGGGAAATCTATGGAATATAAACGTATCCTTGTGAATCTACACTCCATGTTAAAATGCCTTAGTTTTTTAAATTACAGCTAATGTGTCTAATTTAATATTTAGATACAACATAGTGCTACCAACCCCTTGGCACACTGTATGTTGATTTTTATTTGTTGTTTATGCTGTTTGGATGATGATACTCCATGCTCTGCGCCGCATTTAAAGATTTAAAAACATAACCCAAGAACATCAATAATTCACAGATGCTCATTTCCTTTCAGAAAATTAAAGTGAATCTTGAACTTAAATCATTCCAATTCATTTTTATCTTCTGTTTAAATATCAACAGCATAACATGCACCATATGTTTATTCTGACCAAAGTTTGCGGTATTCTACAATATCACTGAAGCATGCAAAGATTTAAATAAATGAGCCTGTGGAAGCTGTTTACACATTGCAAGCTAATAAACTGTACCACCAAATTAAATGAACTGGAGCCAATGGTCCACAGATTTTGGTGCACATCGCCCACTAGGCCTTTCTTAAGGCATAGAAACTAAGGAAGCCATCCAAAACTGAATGGCTTCAGGGAAAACATTTCCCCTGATTTTTGGGTACACATTTGAGTTCCAGCTGCAAAAACAGACGCTAAATGAAATAATATATATTAAACATATAAGAGTCTTGGACAATAGCTTAGTGTATTCACCACAAAACATTTTGAGTTTAGGGTTGTGTGTGAGACACACAATGGAAGCCAACTGATTGTGAACCAACTCTTTTTGACCTCCTAAGTTCTGCCAGCACAAACAGTGCCAATATTCAAAAGGCACATATCTTGCATATTTCTGAACAAACTTTTCTGTATCTTAGAGTTTCATAACCTTGTTTCAAGTGAAAATTACTTTACATTTATTTGGTCCAGTTCAGAAGTAAACATTGTTTTCAAAGCATGCAAAATGTACTGCAGAGACGATGACAAAAGCATTTCTTTTCCTCCACTTATATTCGTCCACTTTTATCAGATTCCTAATGCCATGTTCCCCCAGGAGAAAAAAAGAGTACTTGCATGGCATTTTATATTTTGCATAATACAAAATATAGAGTGAAGTGATGTTTAGCGTCATAAAATATTCCATGGAAAACAGACTCAAATTGCAGTATTTAAGAAGTATGGCTCCAGATGTTATCCCAATCAATTACCTCCAAGCAAATGATATGACAATAGTTTTACTACATCAATAAAACTACCTTGATGCAATGCAGGTCATATGTTTTGTAAGCCACTCTGCGAGCCTTTGTGGCTAAACAATGGGGTAGAAAAACTCTAAATAAAGTAAAGAATATGTACAAATCAATTTTCACTACAAAACCTCATTAGGATAATCTAAATCTTGAGCTCTCAAGTCTTTTATGGTTCTCTACCAGAGCTTGAAAATGTTATTACTTTGAATGGTATTTGGGAGAATTCTGGAAGTATTTGTAAAAGGACTATTCTTTACAAGACTGAACCACATTAAATGCAGTTCCTACTACTATAACAGAATATGCTGAATGTTCAACCATTCTCTCAATAGCATACCTTTTGAAAGGCAGTAACACCCTCTATTAATAAGCTAATAGAAATTATTTATTCAATATTATCCAGAAGAATATCCACCAGTCACGTTAGACTGATGGAGATGAAGAACAATTTTATATTACTGATATAAAATAAAGCATACATAGAGGTTCCATTGAAATAAACTAGACATAAAGCTACCAATATGCTTAAAAACAAGATGTTGATCATTACTCAAGACAACACACCGTGATATTTTTTGAACTTTCATGAATGCTCCAATTCTCAGAAGTGGCATTCCTGGTTTTTCATTGCAGGTTACACTGAATATAAACTTATTATAGAAGAAAACAGGAAGACATCTGAGAAAATAAGCACATTGACTGCTTTCCAAGTTAGTTTTAATGCATTTTCCAAAAGCCAGCTCCAACCAGTTATGCTAAGCAAGGCTCCTCACCTAAGGCCACCATATTTATTAGGTCCACATGTTTCTAACCAAGGTATTAGCTGATTAGAGTGCTTATAACTTGGCAACTCTTTTATTCATCCCTTCATCATTGAGAGGGGAGATGTTTTCATACATTTAGCAATGAAACAGGATGGATAATTGTAACCTAAATAAATGGGTGGAATTGTCTGGAACCTTCAGACAGTCCGTGCTAAGATGTTAAAGCGATCAACACCTGACATCTGTCAGCAGGGAGGACTTCTGAGGTAAAGGGCTACCAAATCTGAAGAAATCAGGTACTTAGACCAGTTTAACTTTTTCATGAGGTGATAGCCTTTGTGACATGATAATCTTTCCTCCCAATGTGACGCAAGGATTTAAGAAGAAGAAAACAACTTCTGGCTCCACCTCTCACAGCAGGATGCTCAGAGACTTTTTTAAAGGCAAGAACATTAATGGATAACAAATTCTAACCAAAATAAAACAGCGATATCAATTTTAAAAACACTTCTGCTTTCCAAAGAAGATAATTACATCTGCTTTGAGGCTGAATTGCGTTTACCCGGACAAACAGGAACAGAACACTTAATACTCTTGTCAGCTCACTTACTATTATTATTCAGTATATTAAAGCCCAAACAATAAATGAATCAATATTAGCATAAATCCAACAGGGGAAAAAAAGAACTAATTAAATTGGATATTGATGATGCCAGTAAGTGATATGATCCCATTTAGTGCTTTTACATAAGCGCTTTTCAGTGTCTTTCAGCTTAGCGTTTTTGTTTCTTAATGGAAAAGTACATTACCACCCAAATAAGCACAACTGACAACACAATCCCTCCAAACAATGCAACAAATGGTACAATAAAATTAAGTAAATGATTGTTTTAAAAGAATGTTAACAATGACAGTAGTTACTATTAATATCAAACATTTTTCTATTTATGGCTTGACTAAATTACATACACATTGAACTTGTTATAACGGTTTGCTGGTCTTTGTATAGCCATTCTAATTACCTTTACATTTTGTTTCTTGGATTTGGTACTCTTCGGCATTTGAAATGCTTTGAATGGTCAGATCTGTATGGCCTGGCAGGAAAACTGAGTTAGTCCATGCTGTTGAAGCATGTAGAAATTGTGTAGCCTGGTGTCCAGTCCTCAGCATATTGTTATTTTCACAGTACCTTTTCTTACACAAATGGTTCTCTGCTATATCTATGATATTCCACTTATATTTCCTGTCAGGAAAGTGCATCAGCCCATCCCAGGATGGAAGGCCACGTTCTGGAGACTTGACAAACACTTGTTGATAAGCTGTTGGCATTGCCAAGATCTTGCTTAGCTGTGGAGTTCTGGAAAGTAAGTGTTTCCCCATTTCTCTCGGCCGGGTGGAATTCACATGCATCGCCACCTGAGAGCACCGGTACGATGTGGAGGTTTTCAGCCATGTACTTTCAGCCACCATGGTCAGCTTCCATGCAATGCCGTGAAATATACCAGTTTCCCTTCTATTAAATCCAGCAAAGGCAGTTAGTTAGGACTAATGTACACAGGTAGAGCAACTAGATGCAGCTTTCACCAGAGCTACGCATAGAACATGGGGCCTGGGCATGTTACCACCAATTTATTGCCTTGCTCATATGATCATTTGAGGTCTTCTGGGTCGAAGCTGGTCATGAACAATTTTCAGATGCTTAAAACACAAAACATCAAGGATTCAGCCTTGTTTGACTTTGCTCTTATTGTAGGCTGACCTGAGGGACACTCGGTTACCTAATGCTAACATTCTTATGTGGGCATGCTTAGCAGTTCCGGTCTTTCTACTATTGCCGCTCTCTGCTTAGCTTTGTGGCCTCAGGGTAGAATCAGGTGCCACTCCTACCTTAGGAGTTTTAACCCCGCTGGCCTCATGCACGTAGCAGACAGTAGCAATGTCATCACACAGTTTTTACATGGTTGTATCCACTTATATTTTGATAGGGGGTGAAAAGGATGAAAACGTGGCAACAATATATGCATGCATTATATACATGCTGCTATTTCAAGTTTATGTACAAAATATCCAACAGGTAATTGATAAATATCTAACTTTCAGTGAAGACATTAAATAAAACTAAGGTAACAAGATTTTCATTCCTGGATTATAAATGTCATTTCCTAATTGGGTCTATCATTAGGAAATGGCATTAAAGAAGTTTATGAAAGTGAAAAACTTTGTTGTTGCAGGACATCCTGCTTCACATTTTGCTACAGTTTTTCAATGAATATCTCATGCAGCCTAACCCAAGTCACCATAGTTTGTGACAGCCACAAAAACGAAGTTTTTGAAGTATAACAACTACTTTCAAGGTAAGTACCACATGATTAAACAGGAAACAATACTTTCAAATTTTCAAATTTTGTTACATAATGTAATTATTTCAGGTTTATATACAAAATATTTGATAATTTCAGTGTAAATACAACTAAAACAGGTTCAAGTTTACATACAAAATACTCAATAATTAACTATAAACATCTTAGCTTCAATGTAGATGCAACTCAACAGTTTAAAGTTTACAAACTATTTGACAGTTAATTTCATATATATATATATATATATATATATATATATATATGAAACTATGCTGGAAGTATATACACACTTTCTATATATATATACTTTCAACTATGCTGAAAGTTATATATCTTTCAGTAGAGTTGCAATTCAAAACTTTTAAGTTTACATACCACAATATTTGATAGTTAATTATAAAATCTAGCTTTCAGTGCAAGTGCAACTTAAACGTTTCAAGTTTACATTCAAAAGTATTCAATAATTAATTAATTAAGAACACTTAACTTTCAGTGTAGATACAAATTCAGTTTCCCGAATGAAATATTTCTGACAGTTTCCAGTCAGGAAAATCTGATACAGATGGTTTTATTAGTCATGGTTGGTGTTTTTCTAAAATGCCATTGAAATATCACATGAGATTTGCATGAAACCAACTTGAATAAACTATGCATATTATTTGAACAAATATCAACCTAGTCATACTTCAGTGAAATCAGAATGGATTCTTTTGCATATGTGCAAAAGGATATGAGTAAGACCAACCAATACACCTTACTCTAACCCAGAAATATATGACTGGTTAGTGAAAATGCATCAGTTTCATCTCAGATCCAGGTTTCATAAATTTCAATGAAGCTGATATTCAAAAATTAAGATAAGCTATGTTGACTTTGGATATTCTCCGTTGTCATCAAAAGAACCACTTTGGAGCAGTGAACAAAACTGAAGAAAAATCACTAACGGTTGCAAGTTCATTTCAATCTGACTTTGTCAGTAGTACATTAAGAAAACACCTGATAAGGATCCACTTGGATGAACCTTTGTATGGTAGTGCCTTGACTCACAGTGTCCTCAAATGGCACTTACCAGTTGAAGGCACACAACAACGTTTCTTACAAATGTATTCATGCATATATTAGCAACCATGTATGTAAAATGAGATACTGTAAAATGCAACTCTTTTTGCTCTTTAGCCTTTCCCTATATGTATTTACATTGTGTTTGCAACATAAAAGATGTACCATAGAACTCCACATGCTTTTGAGGCATGGGAGTAGATGTGTGAACTGATACTTTTATTTGAAAAACAGGTAACTTTCCAAGCTCAAAGGGTAATTTAATCAAGGAATCTAACCATGGATTGAAGATCTGTAACAGATCCTATCACCAGAAAGTATGAGTGTAATATTGGGGAGGTGTTGGCAGAGTGATGCAGATTCTTGAACCCTGAAAGCAAATACAATGTTCCCTCGGTACTTCGCAGTTCGCTTCCCATGGACTTGCTGTTTCACTTTTTTTTTTAAAAAAAAACTTAAAATACAAGTACTGAGGGAACACTGTATACACAGATCTATAAACCCCACTTGCTGAAGTGCTGGCAAGGGCTCAAAGAAAGCCGCCAAGGCAGCTTCTGCCAGGGCTTCTTTCTCCAGGGCTGGAGAGGGCCGCCAGGGCAGTTTCCATCGAGGCTTGTTCCCGGTCACTTCCTGGGGCTTCTTCCTCTGGGCCTGGAGAGGGCTGCCAAGGCAGCTTCCGCCAGGGCTTCTTCCCAGTCACTCTTTCTTGGGCAACCAGGTGAGAGCCCCATGGTAGTGGGGAAGTAGGGAGGGAGGGAGAAGGGTGGCTCAAGCAAGGGGAGGGGGAGGGAGGAAGGGAGTGGGAAAGAGGAGAGGGAGAGAGAGAGGAGGAGGAGAGAGGAGTGGGCGGAGCTATCCTGGGGTTAATGCATGTGCATATGGGGGATAAGCATTAGTAGACCATTAGCAAAAAGTTATCGCATATGAATCATAGGAAGCCCAAGATCTGACAATTTCTTAAAAACAGGTATGTAACTAAGAATGCAGGAGAGATATACATACAGTTTGGTACCATTTTAACTCTCTGAAATTATTTAACTTTGGATTCTTGGGATTTGCAATTTGGTGAAGTAAAATTCTCAGCTGGTAGCTCATGTGTCATAGTTCAGAGAAGTGCATCAGGTTTTTTTGGACAAAATTCTAGGAACCTCAGCAAACTGCAAACATGTCTACTATCTATCTGTCTATCTGAAACATATGATAATGTTAAAACAAACATGAGTGTGCTATCATGATCTGATACATTAGAAAGGAAAAAAGAGCAAAAATATGTACTATTCATAAGGGGAAAGTATTTCACCTAAAATTCTAAAAGAGCGTTCTTTCGACTCCCTCTTTCAATATCTTCAATCCCTAAGTAAAAGTTGGGTATATTTTACATTTAAAGATTTGTTTTTTCCCTTATAATAGAACACTATATATAATTGCCAGCATATGCAATTTGAAGTTGCTGATCGATTTATTGCAATCCCATTAATTTCATAGGGTTTTCTTAGCCAAAGAATCCTCAGAAGTGGTTTTGCCAGTTTTTTTCCTTTGGAATATAGCCTTCTGCATCTTACATTTCTTTGGAGATCTTCTATTCCAGTAATAACCAGAGCTGCCTCTACTTAGTTCTCAAGGCAAGATGGGATTTGGTGCCTTTAGGATATTTAGACCCTATACAGAGCTAATTCCTATTAAATACAATTTGGTTTATTCCCAGGTAAATAGTTACAAGACTGAATCCAATAGTTCCAAGAGCTTTGGGTGTTTACTCTTGCTATTGTCAGATTGTAATTGTTTGATGTAATAAATCACCGCTAACCAAGGCTCTTCAAAACATAAGGTTTATTAACTATAACATGTTGTTGTTGTTTATTCGTTCAGTCACTTCCGACTCTTCGTGACCTCATGGACCAGCCTATGCCAGAGCTCCCTGTCGGCCGTCACCACCCCCCGCTCCTTCAGGGTCAAGCCAGTCACTTCAAAGATACCATCCATCCATCTTGCCCTTAGTCAGCCCCTCTTCCTTTTTCCTTTCATATTCCCCAGCATCATTATCTTCTCTAAGCATTCCTGTCTTCTCATGATGTGGCCAAAGTATCTTTGCCTCTAATATCCTTCCCTCCAATGGATCCAACCAGTCCAACTATAACACACACACATACAATTGTATTGTCTATGAGTATTTCTTATAAGGTTTTGCATTGCTTGTTTTTGTACTCTTACCTGTAATACATGAAAGTTAATCACATTATAAGGAGATGAAATGTTTGATCTCCAGAGTAACCCATTTATGTAGCTGACAGATATATTATGTTTCTTCCTGAATGTATTTTCACAATTCAGAAGATGATTAGCAAATGAAGATATTTGAATGGAAACTATATTCTATATATATACTCACACATATAATTTGAATGCAATAATTTATTAGAATCCTTCACAATCATGTGATATGCTGGAAAAAGACCAGGCCACATAGTGCTATCCAAGGCTGAATGGGAAATTGCCACATGGTACAGCCCCTTATGCCACATCAAAATAAGAATAAACCTTATGCCACATCGAAAAAGTTATAGACCAGGGGTGAACAACTATGTTTGTAAATGTTTTCTGGAAAGCAACTGCCAGCATTCTTTCCCACTGGCTATGCTAGCTAAGATTTCTGAACTTGAAGGCCAGCAATCTCTGGATGGCTAAAAATACTCACATTGTTGTAACCAATAAAACTACTGGCCAAGCCAGTTTCAATGCAGATACTATCCTCTCTGCTTCATTCCAGTTTGCATTGGTAATGGAAATAATTTTAGTTAAAAAGGAAGATACTACACACAAAGGACCTGTGAATACAGTCAGCACTCCACATTCACTGGGGTTATGGACACAGGACTTCCATAAAAATGGAAAAAATAGCTATTTTTCAAAAAAACCTTTTTTTTTTTTACTTGAGAGCACAGTTCTCTAGAAATCCCTAGTCATCCAGCATGACTTTATGGTCAACGTCTGCCAAATGTTGATCACAGAGTTGCATTGAAGGACCTAGGGTTTACCCAGTTGCGCTACCACGGCTCCATCACATATGGGGTTGCCAGGTGAAATAAAGGATTGTGTGGATTTTCCTTGCTTTTTTATTCTGCTCGTTTCCCCTACTTGCAAGGGAATACTGAGCAGTGATTACACTACGTAACAAATTTTGAAAAATTATCTGTTCCTGGTTTGAAAGTCTTATTCCTGTTTAATTGTGCGGTATCTTACTTGGAAAGTAGTTGTTACACTTCAGAAGCTTCATTTTTGTGGCTGGTTCAAACAATGTTGAATTGATTGAGACTCTAGGAGATATTTATGGGAAAAGAATAGCAAAAAACTATAGCAAGATGTCCCACAAAAACAAAGTTTTTGCAGTTTAATAAACTTTTCCCATGTTTTTATGATAGAACCAATTAGGGAAATTGGTTAACATAGAAAAAAAAACAAGTTAACATAGTGTTAGTTTTAACAGAAAATCAATGTGATTGTTTGCATTGATCTTTAAAAGGAAGTCAGGCTTCCCACAATGACAAAGATGCAATGATTTACCTTTAAATGTCTCTACTTGTGTGCATATACACATAAATGGAGGCAGCAGCAGCCTGTTTTCCTGAGTCTGGGAAAGAGCTAAAAACAATATCCTTAGTATGCTTTATCAGTTGTGCCAGAGAGAGCACTTGGATCACTATGGCAGCAGCAGGTAGCAAAGATGGACAGCAGCAATTTCCTAAAATACCTTAACTACAAAATAGGAAGGTTCAGAATATAAATCTCCTAAGAAAGAAAATGAATGCCATGATTTCACTGCTGTATTCCAACCGATGACAGGTCTAGCAGTTTAGACTCCCAAAATCTAACACTTAACAGCTTTCCAACTGCATTGAGGTTAGCAGGACATCTGTGCTTATTAAGTTGCTCCAGGAGGAGGGCACCATGTGGCCAGCTGTCAGATGCAACTTATGTCCTTCTGCAGGCCAGCAAAGATGAAGCGGGCAGTCGCAGGGTGAACCAGGCAGCAAATGCCTCAGATAGCTGAAATGCCTTCTGGGGGAGTTATTAGCACGACCATTGAATTTTAACCCCATCTGCTTGCTTTGCCAGTTCCAGGAAAGGAAACACTTACAGGTTGCCAAGCAACAAGTATTCTGTCTGCCCCCGGGGAAATATATATATATATATAAGAAGAAAAAAGAACCAAACCAATATCAAGCAGTGGATGGGAAAAGAATATTGAGGTCCTAACTTTCCAACCTCCCTCCAATATGAGGAAATAATCCATTTACCATTTTTGCAAGAGCCACTGTAACATTTCAATTGTTTGTTTTTCATCTCCCTTTGGGAAGAGACTGGAAAAGTACTGTGGAGGAAAATAATCTAATTCTGCATGCATATGAACCCAAGGTGATGTTTCAAGTGGTTGTTTTAAAGCTTTTAGCTGAACAGAAGAAACCTAAAATAAGTGCAATCTGAAACTATCAATAAAAGTGAAGGGGAAGGATAGAGCTAAAATTATTTTTCCTGAGCTATTATGGGTATCAGTGTACAGAGTGAAGACCTAAGGAATGCAAGTGAAATAAACCTACCCACATTGCACACACTCGCAGCCACTCAACTTTTCTTTGCTCGATAAATACCTAATTTTTCTACCATTAATGGAATCTAAGGCAATAGAGCATATTTCCTGAGAGAGCGTTTCTAGCATCACTCATTAAATCAGCATTTCTCAACCTGAGGAGCCCCCGGTGGCGCAGTGGGTTAAACCCCTTGCCGTCAGGACTGAAGACTGACAGGTTGCCGGTTCGAATCCAGGGAGAGGCGGATGAGCTCCTTCTCTATCAGCTCTAGCTCCTCATGAGGGGGCATGAGAGAAGCCTCCCACAAAGATGATAAAAAGACATCAAATCATCCTGGTGTCCCCTGGGCAATGTCCTTGCAGACAGCCAATTCTCTCACACCAGAAGCAACTTGCGGTTTCTCAAGTCGCTCCTGACATGACAAAAAACAAACAAACAAACAAACAAAACCCTGGAGGTTGGGACCCCTGGGAGTGCCGCAAGAGAGTGTCATAGGGGTCGCCAAAGACCATCAGAAAACACAGTATTTTTGGTTGGTCATGGGAGTTCTGTGGGAAGTTTGGCCCAATTCTCTCGTTGGGAGGTTCAGAACACTCTTTGATTGTAGGTGAACTATAAATCTCAGCAACTACAATTCCCAAATATCATGGTCTATTTTTCCCCAAACTCCAGCAGTATTCACATTTGGGCATATTGAGTATTCGTGCCAAGTTTGGTCTACAGTGATCTCTGGATGTAAGTGAACTATGACTCCCAAACTCAAGGTCAATGCCCATCAAACCCTTCCAGTATTTTCTGTTGGTCATGAGAGTTCTGTGTGCCAAGTTTGGTTTAATTCCATCATTGGTGGAGTTCAGAATGCTTTTTGATTGTAGATGAACTATAAATCCCAGAAATAACAACTCCCAAATGGCAAAATCAATCCCCCTCAACCCCACCAGTATTCAAATGTGAGCGTATAGGATATTTGTGTCAAATTCGGTCCAGTGAATGAAAATACATCCTGCATATCAGATATTTACATTACAATTCATAACAGTAGCAAAATTACAGTTACAAAAATAATTTTATGGTTGGGGGTCAGAATAACATGAGAAACCTATTAAGGGGTCATGGCATTAGAAAGGTTGGGAAACACTGCATTAAATAATGTTGTGCATCTATCCTATCTTTTCCTCTTCAGTCAGTTCTCTGTGCCATTTTTTAAAAAAAAGATTGAAGAAGTGGTACGAAAACAGGATTGTTACCAATTGGATATTTCCAACAAAAAGCTCAAAATACTACTAATTAAAACCAATAATGTAGTTATTCCATCTTTTATTTGCTGATACGAAAAAGTGGCAAAAGAGGTAGGAGAAGGGAACTAGAAGGGGAAAAATGAAGCATAACTTTGACTAGAATGCTGTACAAAATTTAATGTTTGAGGCAAGGTGACTGCAAGATAAAACCTCATCTGAAGCATCCTACTAAAATTCCAATAAAGCCAGGCAATTGCAAGTAACAGACTAATCTGAAAACATACTTGTTCCACTTTTCTTTTGAGGTGGAATCAATATCTGTAATAAGCATACATCAGTGGTTGTTTAGTCACATTTCCTACTTGGGATAAGCCCAGATATGCAATTATTACAAATGTGGCATACAAGACATTATTCCCTTCTTGTAATATACATTATTTATATATAATTAATTACACATCCTATGGTAATTTCAGAAATTACATTCTGCAGATGTTCAGTATTCAGCCTCAAGGTATCACTCAGTATCTCTTCTATTTATCCAGCAACATTAAAAAGGATGTTTATGATACTAACCTTGGGTAGTATCTGTAGTACCTTAATTCTGTAGTACCTTACATGATAATGTCTATATCAATTAGTAGACAATATTTAAGTATTTTACAAATGATATAGTCAAAGTATGCTGTTGTTTCATGAATATTTGTATTGAATATTAACCACACAAATCTTTGACAGCTTCCAGCTCAGCTAAAAAGCATTTCCATCTATAACAAGAATGTAAATAAACTTGTGTTACCCACACACACACACAAATGCATACATATACATATAAACAGAGACTGAAAGATAAATAATAGGGAACACAAAGACATGAAAATTGATAGTTCAGAAAGAACAATACAATTTTAAAACCTTATGGGAATTTCTTATTTTTTTTAATGGACATAATCCATGGGAATATTATAAACCGGAAAGATGCCATTGCTCTTATATTTCACAGAATATGAAAGAAGGCATACTCCAAAAAATTGTAGGTTGTACACCTATTTCTCAATGGCATCTGATACATTCATGCATCAAGAGATTTTGCTGAAGTTAAAAATAAAACAAGACCTTCTTTTGACAGATAACTAGGAGCTACAAAGTTCTTGCTTGCAGCTGATGAATTCAGATTCTGCAGATGAAGAAATTAGATTCCCTTCCCACAACAATTATCTTGTTCGAAACGACAAGTTTGCAGTCAGTTTACACAGAGTTGATCATCAAGTCTAACCCAAGGGCTTGGGTATGAACTAGCCAAAAGTGATAATGTGTTCTCTTTTTATTTACGCACTAAATATGCAAGCATCTGAGGGCATGAAAGTGGGTAGGCACCAGAATGACCGAGATCAACCAAGGCAAATGTAATCAGGCTTATGGGTAGACTTGCATTCAGGTCAGTCAAGGAAGCTAAATTTGCACAGGTCCAAACAGGTAATGCTAACTTCTTTTTTTAACTTTACAGTCAAAAGAGAAAACAGAAAGGCAGCAACAGAAGAAGAGCAAGGGCCCAAGAAAGCTGCTTAAAACAGTGGAGAGCATCAAGGTAGGATAAATGGGTTCTTTACTTGGTCCCTCCATCCTTTTTCATGGAAAGAATAGACTCCTCTACCAACCCACCCACATTACATCCGAATTGGCACCTGACTTAGAAGTTGGCTAACTGAATCACCAAATGGCCAGAACACTATCGTGTCTAGAAGGACAGATTCCTGATAAGTCACTGTAGTGTTCAGTTTTCAAAGGGATGTTTTCATTTTGGAGCAGAAGTTTGTAGAAGCAGCTGAGACAATATTGCTTTTTTAAAGAGCAGAATAATTCTAGGTCAAATACAGCCATGCCATCCGCGAGGGAAAAATGCTTCAGGTAAGTTGCTATTTTTCTTTAAAGTCAAATGCTGTTTTGTGTTTCAATAAATAATAGTGAAGTGAAGACATCTCTATATAGTTCTGTTTCCCATATTCTTCCTTCTCCTCTTTTGTTAGTAATGAGGTGAGTCTATTGTTATGTGAGAACCTGCCTTCTCTCCCTGGAATACTGCCCCTTTGCTCATGCTCTCTTGCTTTTTCTCTGATGTATGTACAGTCTCATTGTCTCCCTCCCTCCATTCCTCCTTCCTCCACTCCTTCATTATTCTTAAGATATGCACCTCACATCAATGATTTCTTGGAGAGTTAATTTGATGCATGCTAAAATTTCTAGAATGGCTGCTCAGATTCTCACACAGAACTATCACATATATCCAGGGACTTTTCCATTCACTTCAATTGACATCATCTCCTTTGAAGTGAGTGGCAAAATAAACTGACTCATAAACCACACGTGACTTTACAAACTATACGTGATGTTCAATATATAGCCTAAAGCTACAGCTCATTTCTCCTCTTCAATTAGGGATTGGGAATATGCAGCCATCCAAAAGATGTGACACTCTGTTTCCTGTCTCAGATCATTGGCCAAATTGGATTGGGCTTATGGGACTGGTATCCATCAATGCGAGCACACATTGCCCTTGCTTTTAATTATTATAAGAGGGTTGAATGGGAGGTAATTTTTAAAATTAAGATTTCACCACCAAGAAGATTTATCCTTCTCCAAATTTGCCCCATCCCATGTCTAGGAATACTGAGGTGGAGATTACCTTTTATTGGAACTAGCCACAACAGATGAAATTTTTTAGAGTTGTGGTAAGGGATATTCCAATGTACTGCGATATTTAGGAGAATAGGGCACACCCTCCCAAACTGCTGAATTAGCAAATAAAAGGTATACTTTCCTGGTTACAGTACTTGTCAATCAATAATAATACAAACAGTACAAAGAGCTGCACCTTTGAGATGCGCACACCTTCCTCAAGAAAATGCACTGACAACTCATTATTCAGGCAGGCCTTCAGGAATTGGCTGCTTGATATAATCAGGGTTTTTAAAAAGGATATGCTGAATATGTTTACAAAAAATTTATTGCCATTATTAGTATGGAGTTTTACAGTTTTAATTTTAGTTTGTCTTTTTGGCATAGTTCAACCTATTTAATTTGAACTTTAAAATGGATGTGTATTTTTTTAAATGGTACCTCTTTTTTAACTTTCCTAGAAGCTGCTTTGTTTCCTATCCCTGTGAGAAAGGTAGGAAATGAACCAAATAAATAAGTATTGTTTACTTTGAATGAATGCAGCTATATGAAAGTCCACCAAATATGTGAAGCAATGGCAGATCCAGATGTCAACCGTGTAACCCTCTAGGTAATCTCAAAGTCTCGGCACATACAGTAGAACCTCTAAGTTACAAATATATAGTTACAAATATATAGATAGATCTATATTGAGAAAGATGTTAAAGAGCTAGACTTGTCTACCTGACATGCTGCTGGGAATCAACAAAAGGTAGTCATCCTCATTGCTCTTTTCCACTAGTGTCACCTGTCAGGGACAAAACAAAGACATTAAGTTCATCAAAACGTAACAAGCATAATTTTGGCATGGTTAGATTGCAACCCAGATGGGTATTATTGACTTGCAACTTAAAGAACTAGTGCCTGGGCTATGTTTTCCCCACTTCCATCCCATCCTTCTTATATGTCATATTTTTTATACTGTGGATCTAAGAGCAGGATCTGTCATATTACTTTTCTTTGTATGCTACTCTTAGAACCACAGTATTGGTATTGCAGTAATTCTGATCTAGATTTATGTATTACCAAATAAGGTCTGACCAAGCTTAAATTGTTGTGTCATTCTAAACTCCATAAAGTTACAACTTTGGCTCCAAACACTACATGAGCATCCTTATGCAAAGCCAGAGTCTAGAATCACCCTCAAGCTTTAGACTTAAGACCTCATCACTTTTGGCTTTGGTTCCATCCTAGGATGCTTCCAGGATGGAGCCTGCCAGAGCCCAACACATGACGCAGGGCTACTTCTGGTGGGACACCATCCTGGAAACATCCTAGCACAGAGCCCTGAGAACATGGGGGGATTCCCGTGTTCTCATTGATTCGAATGGGGTGAGCTTGGGGAGAAGCCGGATGGTGATGCTTTCCCCTGTGTGATGGGGAAAGGGGCCATGCCTGTGATATGGAGTGCAGGGCGATTGTTTCCCCCACTGCTTGTTGGATTCACCTTGCTGCCCGGTGAATCCCTCCGCTGTCGCCCATTTTTTGGACCTCTATGTGATAAGCTCCTTTAAGTTCCTCAATGGAAGTCCTATAACTGATCAAATTCCTATTCTCAGCCTAACATTTTAAGATATATGAAAATTTTAATTTTTGCTGTGAATAGTGTTACTCCTAGTCCAACACTTATCAAAAGTGTCAAATTGGGAAAGGGTGTCCTAAAGTATGACATGTTAAAACCTATATCACCAAGTTTTTCCATTATAGTACTTTGCTGCAGTTCTTTTCTTTCCCCACTGTCTATACCTGGGAACATGTACATTATTCATTCAATTTTTCAACACCAAGAGAAAACAGCATAAAATTTGAAAACAATTCTGTCAAAATGGCTAAAATTTTCCTCCTAAATTAATTTTGGAGCAATAACAAGTATATACTTCTCATTAGATAAAACCATCTAATGTCCACTTATTATATTACTTTTAACTTTACTTTTGTCCTCATTGCAAACGAAATCACTCCTTACAGTTAACTGTATTACTTTGTTTTATTATATTGAGTCTCTGACAGGGCAATAATAAATGAAACATCATTCAGAGGTTGTAAATCTAAATTGAATTAATAATTGTGCATTAAATAGAAAATTGTGGTAATTTTTTTCTTTGGCCCGGATAAAGTTGTGCATTTTCTAAAGTGGCATTTGTGTATTTCTTTAAAATATGTAGCACTGGAAAAAAAATATTATAACTGCTGCTTTAGTGCACAAACTAGTAAAATGAATCACAATGGATGAGTTGTGTTTTCACGAGCAGTCAGCCAGCCCCATTGTGCATGAACTTAGCCCACATTCATTTCACACAAATAATGACTAGCTTTGCATAAGGAGAAATTCAAATTATATTTTGTTCAACTTGTCAAAACTAACCCCGAGGACCTAAGACATTGTAAAAGCAGATGAAAAGTGGGAGGGCAAAAGATTATTCAGAGTTTTAAAAATTATAGATTTATTAATCAATATTAATCAGATTGTCAGCCACCTCCACCCCCCATTACAGTGATCTCTGGACCTTGTGGGGTAATGGTGTTTTTATATTGTTGGAAGAGGCCCTGAGTCCCTCTTCAGAGGGCGAGAATAGGACGGGATACAAATGTTCCAAATAAATAAATAAATAAATAAATAAATTTTAAAAGATCTACTATCTTCAATTCAATGTATATATCATACCCATTCCTCACAGAAGGCTCTCTGAGAATTATGAGTAAAGGACATACTGTATACATATTTCTCTTTAGTATGAAACAAGTTACAATTTAATACAGCATTTGATTCTTCCATATAATTCCAAGACTCAGTGGAGCTTATATCTGATTGTACATGCATAAAGCTGCATGAAAATCTTCATTCAACCAACCTGTTAAGAAATCATTAAAGACTGCAATTCTTCTTACCATATAACAATATAATCGTCCATATAGAAATTATGTATATATTTTCCCCACACCATCTCCCCCTCCCCCTTTAGCACTTGGATATAGACCAGGCATGGGCAAACTTTGGCCCTCCAGGCAGGCCCGTAGCCAGGATTTCGTTTCGGGGGGGGGGGGGGGGTGCTGAATTTTTTTCAGGGGGATTTTGGGGGGGGGGGGCTGAGTTTCAGGGGGGGCTGAGTCTGAGTGAAAGAGGGTCTAGCCTAGCAAACCTTTTGTATCATTACCCCAATACCCCCATGCATATGGGATATATTGAGCATGGTGATCAGATCATGATATGAATAAACATAACAGTTTAAATAATGCACCAGTAAGGACTTTTCGCGAACCACCATGAGAATTTCAGGGGGGGGAGGGGCTGAAGCCCCTCAAGCTCCCCCCTGGCTACATGCCTGCCTCCAGGTGTTTTGGACTTCAACTCCCACAGTAGGCTATTAGGAATTGTTAGAGTTGAAGTCTGAAACACCTGGAGGGCTGGATTTTGCCCATGCTTGATATAGACAATATTCTGTACATCTGTACAAAACATGCTGTATTATTTTCAGAATGCAGTCAGCTATGAATAGTAGAAAACAACATATGGTATACAATACTGTCTTCTTCTAGAGACAATACGGCACAATCCCTGTATCTGCAGGAGATATATCTCCAGACTTCACTTGAATATGCAAAACAGTGGATAATAGCCAACCCTATTGAAATGAAGGGCTTCTGACCCCACAAATATGATACAATCACAATAAAGGAACCAAAAAATGCACAGAGGACATATTTTGTCAGATGTGGGTGAATGAAACCTTGGATACAGGTCACATGGATACAGGGGTCACAATGTACTCAAAATGATGCTGGATGATGATGTTCTACCTACTATGCCACTTTAAAAGAAGTTAACTCTAACAGCAAAAAAAAAAAGCATTTAAGGTGGGGAGGAAGAACAATGGGAAGAAGGAGGAGGGGAAATGGAGGAAGGATAGAGTGAGAGAATGAAGTAGACAGGAAAATAGACAATTAACTTATTTGGAATGATCTGGGGTATGGTGCAACTGAACCTATACAGTGTTCCCTTGCTACTTCGTGGTTCGCTTTATGCGGACTCGCTGTTTTGCAGGTTTTTGAAAATATTAATATAAAATATATACGTCCAATGGAGGCCAGGGACCCTGGAAGTGCAGCAGCCTGAGGCCTGGCGGGGAAGGCCTGCCTCCCTGGCCTGTTGCTGCCTATGTGGCTCCAGAGGCTCTGCTGGGGTCTGTGGAGTCCAAGGAGGCAGGCAGGCCCCCTCGGGATGGGCCGAGAGGCGGGTAAGGAAGCACAGGTAAGAAAATAATATATAAAATATATAAAATAATGCATAAATATTAAAATTAATATAGTGTCCCTACTTCGCAGATTTTCACTTATCTTGGGTGCTCCTGGAACGAAACCCCTGCAATAAGTGAGGGAACACTGTATACTATACTATACAATTTAAATTCTAATAACTGTTTCTGACTTTGCATCTATATATATAAACTAGCACTTTTGAATTGCATATAAATGTGTGTCTTTTACTCTTTCTTTTTGCATATTCCTACTGCCATTTTTGGCAATGTGCAAGCATCCTCCCTATAGAAGCAGCACAAAAAGTAACCCCTCCACATATCTGATTTCTAAAGCAGGAATTGTATACCATCCCAAACCGATTGTATACTCAAGCCTGGATTGACAAAATCTTCTCCAAATATTTTTCCCAGATTAAATTGAGTTTATGATCCTGTCTACTATTCCCTAAAGGGACATCACCTAGAATCCAATGGAGAAAATACTTTGTTATGGTCAGCATAATATTGATGATACATCACAACTCATATTTCTGTATGATCTTGTCTAGTTTTTCATGTCTTGTTTTTTTCTTTTGTTAGTAAAGGTAAAGGTTTCCCATTGACATTAAGTCTAGTTGTGTCCAATTCTCGGGGATGGTGTTTTCTCCATTTCTAAGCCTAAGTCCATAGACAACTCCAAGGTAATGTGGTTGCCATGACTGCATGGAGCACCATTACCTTCCCACCAAAGAGGTACCTACTGATCTATTCACAATGTTTTTGAACTACTAGGTTGGCGGAAGCTGGGGCTAACAGTGGGAGCTCACCTCTCTCCCTGGATTCAAACCACTGACCTTTCGGTCAGCAAGTTCAGTTCAAGCCGCTGACCTTTCAGTCAGCAATTTCAGCTCCCAAGTTAAAAATATAACTTGTATATGTAAATCAAAAATAAACATCTTGAATTTGTTTCTCAAAAACCAGTGTAATTCCTTGCAGCCACTGTATTTTTGGAAAAGGCAGAAGGTGTGTGAGTTGTGTGTATGTGTGTGCGCGCTATGCTCCAGCATAATAACAGATCAACTTATAGATTCCCAGAAATGGGGAAAATAATGCCCTTGCTTATCACATCTATAAAATTGCAAGTTTTTATGCTTCCCTGTTTCAACCCTTTAAATCATTTATCTTTCCATTTGAGTGTCCAAAATATGTCTGAAAACTCAATTTCCAAAAAATATGATATGTTAATTGAACAATGAAGGCAGGTCTATGATAAAGTCACAGATCTTAAGGGGTAGGTGATGCCAGATGACTTTTCCAGTCCTGCTGTTTCAGTTTTCATCGGACTTACATTTTCATTTGGATCATTCGTAATGTATCCTCTTTTATTAACCAACATGGTAAACATGGTCTGACTTATTTCCACAATAATAGAAATCTCTTGTATAATAGAAATATAAATTGTAGTTTGATATTTTCCAAAGCAAAACAAAATCTTCCCTGATTTCCCGCATTTTGCCTGGAAGCAAAACTGTTCTGAGGCAGATCCATATTTAAGATGGGATTTGAGATTGGGAAAGAGTTTGATCACTCTAAGGCCAGACACATCTTCATGAATTATATCATGAAAATGCTTCAAATGCTAGTACAGTCAACCCTCTACATTTGTTGGGGTTCTGGGCAAATTATTAGTCCAAGACTGAAAAAACTATATATGCTAAAGGAATTATAATGACATTTGCTTTCATTATACTGAAGCAGGTTCTGCCCAGTCTCTCTTACCAATTTGACTGCCATGAACTCACTGTGTAAGAAAGCTTTTCCTACAGCTTTGAAATTTGAAATTCAGTCTTTCTTATATTTTTCTTATATTCCCCCCGCCCCCTTTTTTTAGGGATTTTGGAGTATTTGGGGTAGCTATGTGCTCAAATGAATGTTGATCTATCACAGTATTTTACATTTTAATTATTGTGTGTGTTTCAGTGTACACTGCTTGGGTTTCTAAACTGTGTGATGAATACTGTAAATGATACAAAGAAATCTAGCCAAAGAAGTAGGAGTCCATCATGTTCTTCTCACTGAGAAATCCGTAGTGACATTTGCGAGGGAAATTATCTTATAGCTCCCTCCTGTGGACAACTTGTATTATTCTCATGGAAGACATCCTGTTGAGAGGTAAGCCTTATTTAAAGAAACTAGATTTCTATATAGAATAGCTCTGATGTTAATAGTGATTTTAATAACAGAATTAGCAAAGGCTGTTTCTTTCATTGGATCTTCACCTTCAGAAAATCAATATGTGGGATGGGGGTGATATTATTCACTAAAGTGCACATGAGAAATATGGTGTTCCAGTAGGGCAGTGGTTCTCAACCTGTGGGTCCCCAGATGTTTTGGCCTTCAACTCCCAGAAATCCTAACAGCTGGTAAACTGGCTAGGAATTCTGGGATTTGAAAGCCAAAACACCTAGGGACCCACAGGTTGAGAACCATTGCAGTAGGGTATTCTGATTTAAACGAAGGTAATCTAAATCAAGGACTTAAATAATTGGAGGATTTAAGGAAAACATAGGGCAGTGATTAGAAACAAGAAGCAGGTTACCAAAAAACATATATACACTTACAAAAAAATACACACTGTTGAACAATATAAGCCGGAGATGGTGATTAATTTTTATAGAGCTTTTCTCTATAAAAGGGGAATAAATATCTATCTTGTAGGGCTGGTAGAACAATCAACATAACATGTATTGAAACTGAACATATTTGAATATATGGTTATTTCAAGATATAAGATTCAAGATATTTGAAGGAACCAAAAAGTCTCAATGATCCCAGTGGACAAGCCTAGTAGTATGCAATTTGAAACTTCCAAACTAATGATTCCTTTGAGGATTTACCAATTCCTAGATCCAGCAGGAACCACACAATAATAAATACTCTATCATTTATCATACAGATCAATGTGGTTAACCCTCCTGTTCCATACATTAAGTGGTCTTTAACTTCATTGTGCATGACAGATTATCCCTGGTTTGAAGATATGAGTAAGAATTTTAAGAAACCAACTGTTTAAAAATGCTTTTAGCTTTAAAAAGGGTATGATTCCGCATATTAGGCATGACAAATTATACAGCCAGTTCTTTGGTAACCACCTATGAGATGTATGACTAATTTCCACTTACTATATTAGTGCTCCTAAACTTGGGTCCCTTTTAGTTCCCAGTTTGCATGGCTAATAGTTACAGATTTTAAGAAGTCCAACAACATGTAGAGACCCATGTTTGGGAATTAGTGTTCCAGTCTGCAGTTTGGGTGGAAGGAAATAATTGATAATTGGAACATTCTCCTGGTTATGGAGTACACTGAGATAGGAAACCTAATTTAAGATTACAATTAAGGCAGTTCCATGTGGACTAACATTCCACAAGTAAAGAAACAGGACATTAAGTAGTGGTTCTCAACCTGTGGGTCCCCAGGTGTTTTGGTCTACAACTCCCAGAAATCCCAATCAGTTTAGGATTTCTGGGAGTTGGAGGCCAAAACATCTGGGGACCCACGGGTTGAGAACCACTGAATGAAGAGTGAAGTCTTAACGGATGTTCCTCATGATCTGGAGTAAAGGTGCAGAATTACAAATTGTACTTACTTACAATTTTTACTCCAAGCACCCAGACCATGCATTTAGGTCCAAATTTAGAGCGAGGAGGTAGAGTGTCTGGGAGGAACAAAGATGCTTCAACATGTCCTGATCCTGTATTCTCTAGGAAGCAACCGAGTTTCAATGTTTTGTAGGATGAATCCTCCTGTGAAGTGACCCATCCCTGATCTCTGCTTGCATCTGAAGCTGACCAAATGGGATAAACAGTGGGAGGGTGGCCTCTTCCAGCACCTTTCACTATTCTTATGCTGGCTCAAACAGATTAGTTTGACACTTGACACAACTGTAGATTAAGAGCAGTGCTCTGCATAATCTCTCCTATCCTCCTAACCCTGTTTTTTTACCATTCCACATTCTGTTTAAAAAATTAGTGTTATCAGACAGTAATTTTCTTCAATCCCCTAACTCTCAAAACAAAAGGTATTTTTGATGTTAAACCTCCCTTGTTTCTATCGTGTCTGTTCAGAAAGCACATTTGCACTCATTTAAATTTCAGAAAGGAACAGTTTATCTTTAACGTTAATTTTCATCACTGTTCTTTGCATCAGTTGCTAAAAGCAGCTAAAATGATAAGTGGATTTCTGTCATCATTTTCAGGTCATCTTGATTTATTCATTAGCTTTGGAAAAAGACTAATGAAAAGCTACTGGGAAGATAACACTTTTAAAATGACTTTATTAGGGGATTTTTATAACCTTTAGGCAGATTTATTGAAGCACAGTTTCTATAAAGAAAAGAAGAGATACCTGAATGGATGTTAATAGCAAAGACACCTTCTATCAATATGCATCGACTGGTGAAGTAGAAACATTTATCCCCTGACCAGTAAGTGACATTTCATCCAATCCAATTCTGCATTTCTATAAAGACTTTTATGGATGTTTCAGAGGTTCAGATTCAGTTTACTTACCAAACTAAACCAGAATTAGTTCATTGTTGGCTGTTGTTGCTGTTGTATGCCTTCAAGTTGTCAATTTAGTAACAGTGGGAGCATTTGACCATATATACCTTCTCCCTGATATACAGGTTTTAATCCACAACTTACCTCCTGGGCAGCAGAGAATATGTGCTAGCAGAATGTGGGACAAAGTGACTTACACTGGCTTCTCCCATTCTTCTGCCCCCTGAAAATCTTTTTTCAGGGTGAATTCATTTTGCTTCCTTGCCCAGAAAGTGCTCACAAGAATAGATAATGGGGGCTCTGAAATACCACACAGTTCTAACCCCGTAAGTCCATGTTTAACTGCCACAGCTGCACCATGTGGAATACTAGAGATTGTAGGGTTTTTTTTAGAAGCACTGGAGCTATCTGTAAATCCCAGTATTCCATAATATTTCCTGAAGATTCCAGTACTGCAAACCCCATGATTCCATAGGATGCAACCACGGCAATCAACATGAAACCATAGTGATTCAACTGTGTGGGGTGAAATGGCCCTATCTAAACCAGAGAAGTCAGTGTTTACATATGACTGTTCAATTATTATTTACACATTTGATCTCCCTTATACTATCTGAAAAGAAGGGATGGATGGTAGCATAAACTTGTACACAGAAGCTCTGTTTGCATAATCTGAAACTGACCTTGACATGAGTAGGGAGGAATGCACCTGATCTATGCATTACGGAACTCCAGTCATACAAGCCTTTTCTCTAGCTCATCACATGGAGGTCGATGCAAGGAGTTTGTAGAGCAGTGGGGCAAATCTTGCCCAGCCCCCAGCTTCGCCCGCTTGCCCACCACACACAGTAATGCGTACCTTTCAAGTTTCCTCCCACGCTGTCCCCAGCATTTTCAATCTGAACATGGGTAGTCTACCGTGTTCAGAATTCACAGTTGTAGAACAGATCACAGATGCAGCCAGCATGGAGCCCTGCTGAAAGTAAATGTGTGTCATGTGATGGGATCTGTCAGGCTATGTCAGCAAACTGTTATACGACAGGGGAAAAGGCAATGTGAGGAGGTCGCAAGACTCCTAGAGAAATGGGATGCTGCAAGAAAGTGAAGAAAGAGAGGATCGGCACTCAGGACTCATTCCTGCTGTCACGTTTACTTTCCCAGTATGGATCTCTTTCAACTTCCTAATCTATATAAATAAAAAAGTAATGTTCGTTTGTGGGATTAACATAACTCAAAAGCCACTGGACGAATTGACACCAAATTTGGACGCAATACACCTATCAGGCCAACCAGTGACCATCACACATAAAACACTGAAAAACACTGTGGAAGAGACTTAAAAAGCCAAAATATAATAAAATAAAAATACATTACATTACATTACATTACATTACAACGTATGCGCATAACCACATAAATACACATATACACAAATACACACACACAACACATATACACAGACTGGGACACAGCAACATATGGCAGGGGATGGCTAGTAAGGGATAAATGTATCTTTGACTTAGAAAGAAGGCAGTAACAAATGGGAAGGATTTAAATCTGTCATATTTCCACTACTTGAACCACACTGCCTACTTTCATTTCATTTTCCTTCATAGGGTTGCTGTGAAAAGAAAGCAAGGTGCTTGGGAAACCTATTCCTTGAACTACACCTCCCAGAATCCTTCAGTCAGAACTTATTGCCATGAATATTCTGGGTACTCTCATTAAAAAAAATATTTCAAAACTCTAGTTTTAAATAGCTCACATTCAAATCACAGCACAAGGAACATATGTTTTGTCAAAGGCTTTCATGGCCAGAATCACTGGGTTGTTGTAGTTTTTTTGTGGGGCTATACGGCCATGTTTTAGAAGCATTCTCTCCTGATGTTTTGCCTGCATCTATAGCAGTTTTTAGGTGTGGCTTGTTAGTGCCTGGGGAGATCCTTTGTTGAGAGGTGATTAGCTGGCCAACGATTGTTTCTTGTCTGGAGTCACTTTACAACAAAGGATTCCCCCAGGCACTAACAAGCCACACCTAAAAACTGTCAGGACATCAAATGCTAATCAAGGTGGCCAATTGAAACATTCAGACCTAGCTCTCCAACTCTGGACTTTCCACAGATATATAAACTCAATTTTCCTAGTTTCCAACAGACCTCACAACCTCTGAAGATGCCCGCCATAGATGCAGGGTCAGGAGAGAATGCTTCTAGAACATGGCCATATAGCCCGAAAAACCTACAAGAACCCACAAGGAACATATGTCTGACAGGTGAATATCAATGATTAATAACATATCTCTGATAAGG